ACTCTCTTTCTCTCTCTCTCTCTCTCTCTCTGCTTTCTCGGAAGCATTTTATTCTGATAAAATCGAATGTAGAAACTAATCCTAATAGCTTGTATCCTTAGATAAAGATGCCGTGAAACCAGCAGGTAATCTGCAAAAGCCTCATATTACAATAGGATCTTCAAGTTCAGCTCTTCTGAACATTATACAAGAGCAACGAAATCCCTCCAGTAAAAGATAATCATAAAAAAACCCTAAATCAAAATAGTACAACCCCCTCCCACCCTCCCCCCAAAAACCCCCAAAACAACAACAACAAAACCGCAGCAAAACAGCAACAACACAAAAAGTAACTTCACAAAAACAACAACCAACCATACTAACAAAAACGAAAACAAAAATCAAAAATTAAAATTACAAAATTACAAACAAAACATAAAAAAGTACAAATAGAAAAAAGCAACCAAAAAACCCCAAGCGAACAAACAAACAAAACAAACAAGCAAGCAAACAAACAAACATACAAACACACAACAAGAAGCCCAGTACCCCAAAACAACCAGCTAAGCAAAAAAACAAACAAAATACCAACAACCAAAAACAAAACAGCACAAACAAACCCCCCCCCCCCCAAAAAAAAAAGACATGAACCTTGAAGAACAACAAAAAAGTCACGAAGAAATTAAAAACAAACAAACAAAAACACTCAACAACACCCTACAAGTATGGCAGTCCACGCGACAGATTCTCATCAAGCTTCATCATTTTCAACTGAAATACAATGTCAACCGTAACATAATACGATTTTTTTTGCACTTGTCAAGTTTCCATAAATCTTATCCCTTAAAAAAAAAAAAGTTCTCGTCAACTGGCAAACGGTCGTGGCCGGGTTGAAAAGCTTTCTTTCTCCTGTAGGCTTAATGGAGAGCAATCTTTGGCGATAACGTCTAATTCACGATTAACACACGCTGATATTTAGCCTTACTTTTTTGTTTCCTTGTGATACTGTGGAGTCGATATACGCCCTTTTTTCTATGACTCTATTGCAATAATTTCTTTTTACATTTAATCACCGACGCTTCAGTTCTTCTGACGTGTGTCTTTTTTCCCCTTGGTTGTGCTCACACATTGTCCATCGTCTTTTCTCGTGGGAGCCTCGTCTCTCTGGACAGTAGGCTGCACACGTCTTGTATGCAAATCTAAACCTACAAAGAGGCAGGAGAGTTACACATACCTAATCTACGTCAACATATAGACCTATCAGTATGAGTTGTTTTTGGTACAACTGACCTTTCAACAAATGAATGGTAAAAATGAGTTGAATGCACTCGAACTGTTGGAACCTGCATCATGTATTGTTTTATAGTCATCCCAAAATGATAAATTTGGCCATACATATACATACATATCTATCTATCTATCTATCTATCTATCTATCTATCTATCTATCTATCTATCTATCTATCTATCTATCTATCTATCTATCTACCTATATATCAATTGTCTTTTTCTTTCTTTCGTTCTTTCTTTTTGTTTGTTTGTTTGTTTGTTTGTTTATTCTCTTTTTTATTTTTATCTCTATTTCCTTTCTTTCATTCATCATTTCTTTATCTCTTTCTTTGCTCTCCTTTTCATTTGCTCTTTCTTTCTCTCCTATTTCCTCGTTTCTTTCTTTCTCTCTTTCACCCCCGCCCCCCATTTCCTTTCTTTTCTTATGTCTCTTTGCACATAGCTGGTTCTCATTTGGGATTAGAACGTCCGTTTTACAGCTTTATCGTCATTGACAGATCTTGCAAGTGGCAGGGAACGGATGCTGACAACAATAACAGCGAGCAGGACAGCGCACCAGGGGCAGGGTGGTAGTGGTGGGGTGGGTGCGGGGTGGTGTACGCAGGAGTGTCAACTGACACATGAGAAGCCTGCCACGAGAAGCTTGAAAAAAAAAAGAAAAGAAAACCCTGCTCGGCTGTAGCAGTTTTGTCTGCACATCTTATTAGCAAGGGTGTCAGATTTCACACAAATATCTTGCCATAATATTATTATATATCGCTTTCCATGTGGTCTTTGCCGGGCGTCAGTGGTCTAAAAGTTAGGCCCTACGCCGTGTATGCAGTATGCAGCGGGTGTGGGTTTGATTCCTGCATTGGGACGTTTTAAATCAAGTATCTGTAGGCTGAGGTGGGAAGCTGAATCCAATTCGGCCTGAGGTAGACATTTCGAACAGGAGCCAAGCAGCCCGCCTCCTAAGTGATCTAAATCTTTAAGATTGTTTAGATTTTTTCTTCTTCTTTTTGTTTGGGGGGG